TTTAAAAATATGAAGTGAATTTGGATGCTTCTCTGTAGTGGGGGACAGCCAGCAAGAGACACCTGAAAAGGAACCTAATTTGATGATGTCATTAAGCCCTTCCCCTCCAAAAATCAGGTCCCTTAATGACATCACAAACTGGATGCTCAGGAAAATGAGGTCCCCTGAAGTAATCCTCACTTCTGAAAATCCACTTGTCCTTGGCTTTTAAGTAAACTATTAATAACCTGCATGTCAAGGAACTGCAAATTTACTGAGAATTACCTTCCACGCTCTTGTAAACGATCCCATTAAATCAAATTTTTTACAATTATATATATATTATATATATATGATTATAGGTTCTCATAAGTTATGCAGTGAATGCAATTACTGGCATTTTGTGCATGATAGTATTTTTTTATTGAATATATATATTATTGAATATATATATTTCAATTTCTCTAGCAGCATCAAATTCATGGTATCTCAAAACATTTCAAAACACAGCTAGAAAATATAGACTAGAAAATATTTCAGTATATTGTTTTGATTAATCAGTTTTCTGGTTGAAAATATGAAAGTTAATAATCTCCAATTCTGAACCCACTGAAGCTGATAGGAAAGTTGTGCTGATCTCAGTAGCACAGGGCCTAAAGCTTTAGGCCTGCATCTTGCAAATCAGTCCCAGTGGCCAGTTAAAACCTGCAGCATTGGTCTGGTCCGAGCTTTTTGCTTTTCTAAACTACCACCGTCCCTGGCATCAACAGCCAAGGAAGGGAGTAGAGGGACTCCTTTAGATCTCACTGTTCAAGGCTAAAATTATGTAGTTTTTCCTGCTAGGAAATTCTTCTAAGCTCTAATCAGGCAAAGGAAGCTCCAGGTGAAAGGTTCTGTCTTGACTAATGGACTGTCAGCAGGAATAAAATAAATTAACCCACATTAAATAAGTTACATCATTTTTTTTGTGTGATGGCATTCTAATTTCTGTATGCATTATGTGGTGAAAAGCTACTAATAGTACATTTTTGGCTGTAAAACAGTTATTTAAAATTGTGTAATACGTATAAATATTGAATATATATCAGATATGGAATATATACCACACATATACATAAAAGTATGTGTGTAGGTATGCATAAACACATATACTGAAATACTCTTAAGTACAGCATAAAACATCTAGCTGTTAAACATATCTACCTATGTATTTAGTATTCCACATACAGCTTAAAAGACCAAAGAGATGCATAGAAGAGAAAATGTGCATCTCTCCTCCATCACTCAAAATGGTAGAGATAAAAATAATACTTATTATAGATTTGCTAGTTTAAGAAAAACTACACTGCATTTCTAACAATGAGGAGAAATGCAACTGCAGCTGCAATGCAGAATCCAGAGTTTGCTGCTCACACTTGGTATTTAATTACCAGTCCAGCAGAGGTTGGGATGGAGGAAGTACCAAACACTGCTTCATACAGACGCTTTCTATTAATTCAAAGAGGAAAACTGCTGTGGTCCAAGAATATTCAGACTCTCCCTGCTCTGCTGAAATAAGTGCAACAGATGGGGCTTTAGAACAATGAAGTAGGGGAGGAAATAATAACAAAAGGGAGGATTTCCTGATAAGGGGTAGGAAATGACACGTAAAAAGAGCCAGGGTGATCATCCCTTCTTACCATAGCAAGGAGAAAGCGCACAGTCACAAAACTGTAGTAGTCAAATGTGAAGGCCACTGCAATGCCAAATACAAACTGACCAGCACTTGTGAACCATATAACACGCTGTCTTCCCAGCCTGAAAATCACAGCAGTAATAAAATTATGAATAACCACAAACATTCTATTAAAATACACCTGCAACTCCAGAGAGCCTAGGTGGAAGTTTAACAACTTGCCACAGAAACTCTGGTTTAGTTACCTGTATTAATTTTTCAGTAATTCCAACTTCCAAGGAAAAGGAAGCTCCTATGAATGGAACGTGCAGTGAGCATTACATATGTTCACCTCCAGTTTCAAGTTTAACTTTTGCATAACCGATCTGCAGATTTACTCAGTCTTCTTTATGAGGACATAAATCACTTTTCAGATATTTTATATTAAGTAGCATTTTGTTAATAATTTCTAACAAAAGTTAGCTGTCATAACATGCCATCTCTTGCCAAAGTAACAACCAATTTGGATAGTAATGAAAGGCTTCTGTAACATATCTTTATACAGTTATTTAAAATTGAATTCTCTAATAAATGGCAATCACACAGTTCCCCTGAATTTTCTGATTGCATCACAGCACACATCCATGCATATACAAATACAGAAATCCAAGAAGATAGTATACTAACAGCAAAAAACCCATGTCAAATAATAGCTTCCTATCAACACATAGTAGTTTCCAGTGTAAAAGAAGGATATTTAGTAAAAAAGAACTTCTATTTATTTTTTTTTCTTCCTGTATCTCAGGGAGAAAATATCCAGAGTAGAGCCAGTTGTCCCTAAACAAGTAAGCACATGCTAAAGACTCTATTGAGGATTCATTACATTCTATCTACAAATGCTCTGTAATACAAAATGTGTGGAATCATTTTTCTTCCCTGATAATATTTTCTTGGGCTATTACTATCTACTCCATTGCAAACAGCTTTTCACAAATGGAGATATTACTTTTAGACAGAGAGGTTGAGGACTTCCAGGAGTGTGGACTCCTTTGTAATTTTATTTTTCTGTGAGTATTTGGTACTCCATTAAAATTCCTTCTATTCTTCTCCAACCTTGACCTGGAGTCATGCACATTTTGTCTTTGATTCCTGCCAGAAAAGATCCCAGTGAGTCTTAGCTATCAGAGCTCTTCTGTTGGGAAATCTGTTAATTGGTAATCGGAGGAACACACAATCTTATTTCCCACCAAGCCAGGATGTGTCAGAAAATAATAACTTTCAGCTGTAAAATCTACAGTTGTAAATCTGCAACTCAGAATGTGTGTATTGTCTTAAGTAGCTGTCCATGGCTTGAATTAATGAAAATGAGAACAATATGATCCTAACCTTATAAATCATGTCTGAGTATTAATTTAAAAAGTTATGAATGATTTAAAGGGACACAAAACAAATGTTGGCTTTATATTCTGGTTTTGTATTAAATATGGTTTTACAAAGCCTTGGATTGGGAGGTAGATTGATTCCATGTGTTCTAAAAGCCAAATTAAAAAAAAGGTCATCATTACTTTTGCATTCTCATGTTGTAACTATCACATCCTCCACCTAACAGAAATGTTAGTCAACAGGCTCCTTTACAGAAAGAGAAAAATAACTCAAAACCAGCCTTCAAAACAAAACACAGGTACGTAAGTACCTGTACTTACGTATGTAAGTACCTGTACGTAAGTACAAAACCAAGTACAAATGTAGCTTGGATATTTGACTGTCATATGGATAAAAGGCTGAGTGTTCTCCTGAGGCAGGAATAAGTCTGTTTGTGTTGAGAAAGAAAACCAACAGAAACAGAAGGATACAGACATTCATCCTGAATCTCATTGCTTCTGAGTCCAGCTCTTATGTTGGATCTCAGTGCGTGATCTGAGATAACATCCAGGGAGGAAGCATTGGACAGGAATGGGCTGAAGGACAGCCTTGGCACCGTAAGCATGAGATTGCTTGGGATGAGTCCCTCCATGGGCTGACTCTCCTTGTGCTCAAACAGAACTTTATACATGCTATTAAATAAGTGAAACTACAGCGCAGCTCACTCACACCCATTTTTCCTCCTATCTAGACCAACCCTCAAGAGACTGAAGTTTAAGCTAATTTTTCAGAGGAAAAACTACAATTGGAGAGCAAGGAAAAATAGCGTGTGGGTGTTTATTTTAAGAATGTGGGGCTTGATCAAACACTTGAAGTCTTTGCATCAGCCCCACTAAGCTGTATTCATGACAGAGGTTAGGAAACATGATTTTAAAATACATTACACTGAATCTTCTAGAAGGTGTTCTGTTACTTATCGTATTACAAATTAAAAATCAATATTTCCACCAGGAATCTCTCCTCGTGAAAAATGAGGCGAAAATCTATTCCCAGGTTTTACCATTGCTATTACAATGAGCTATTGCTATTTCTGTTAAAAATAAATAAATAACCAAATAAATAAATAACCAAATAAATAAACAAATAAAGGCAAATACTAGCTGCCCAGAGGAATTTCAGGGATCAAGGCCTAGAACAATGGATGACATAAAGTACAAAAAAAATTCTAAAAGGAAATGACTTGCAAAGACATTTTAAAATTAGTACTTGCTATTGGAAAAAGATATTGAGTTAAACAGATCTGTGAATAAAGCAATATCCAAACTTCCTGAGTTTTGAGCACATAATTATGAGTACACAGTGAGTGAAAACAACAAAAACACATGGAGTTACTGCAGTCTGAAGTTACAGTTTTCAAAGGATAGCACTTTACCTGTCAGCAATGTCACCAAAAATCACTGCTCCAATCAAGACTCCAAGCATGAATGTGGGCTGGATTAATTTTGCAAGCCATTCTCGGTCACAGACTAGATCCCACTGCGTAACAACAGTGCTCTTCCACTTTGTATCATCATAGAGAAATCCATCAGAACACGAAAATACAGATTTGTTGCCTTTGTATTCATATGCCAGATCCAAACTGACTTCTCGTTTGGATCTGCTGCACTGATTAATTTCCCAAATTTCTCCATTTTCCAGCTGGACTACAATGTAATTTTCTGTTGATGTCCATAGTGTCCAGATGTCCTGTATACTTGATGCGGAGGAGTTGTGGAAAAGAATATTACTCACATTTCCAGGGAACCCACATACAAAGTTAGGAGTAACAGCCATGAACACAGATGCTAAATAATGGATACCGCATGACATAGCTTGAAAGACAGATGCAAAATAAACACATGCTTGAAATCTGTAAAGGGAAAGAAAAAATTTTACTGAAGAAAAGCCCTGTATACATGAAAAAAAAAAATCAACATAATTGTTTTGGAAGATCAGCAAATGGAGACATCATTAGGGTGTCTAGCGTTTTGTTGTATAGTGCTGCTTCAATATTACTTAAGCCCTGCAAGAGACCAAAGATGAGAAAAAGATCCATAGTAATCTATTGCCAGGAAATAAATGTTGCCCTCAGTCATGTGTTTAGTCATAGAGAGAAGACCATTTAAAATGAAACAATTCTAAACTTAAGCACTTAGTTTGAAGCAACCTTCCTACCTCTAATTCTCTGTAGCACATTCCCTTAAAATAGGGCCTGAGAATACTTGAAAGGTTAGAAAAACCAAAATGTTACAACTTCAGGTTCTTAGGGTTAGAGATATGCGCATCAAATAAAACAAAATAAACAGAGTACGCCCCTCATTTAATTTAATTGTATCTCCGTAATTGTATTCCATCTACCATCTCTCTTTATTGCCTCCAAAAGACAAAGAGAGAATACATGTAGACACAAGTAGAAGAAGATAGAATCTGAACAATGTGAAATGTTTTGTACCAAAACATAGCTATGAAATGGGTTGGGTTTTGGCTTAAACAGGATGTGCAGTTATCCATTAAAGATTGTATCATAAAGCAAACACGGCAAAAGAATGTTTTATGTAGAGCCTGAATTTAGGCATTTTAAACAGCTTTTAAGACGTGCTTGAGATGCAAGTAAATCTTAGTATAAAAATTGCACATGTATTCTGAATTTCAAAGGCTTGCAATGAACTCTAGTATCACTGTCTGCAAATTCTAGAAAGTTTCTGATAATTTAAGCATAAGGAGTATTTTCCTGAATTAAATGTTTTAATTGTGCATATAATTAGTACAACATCTATCATAAAAAAACAAAATAGCTTTGGTTTCTCCTCCCTTTTTTATTTCCTGAAGGCTAATCAATTGCAATCATTTGAAGAAGCATTCAATGAGCTTCTATATATACATCCTTACTGCATATGCAGTAGGCCTTAATAGTATGAAACAAAAAGCAGATTTTTTTTTAAATGACCAGAGGCTATCTCTGCTGAAGTTTTAGGAAATGATGCCTAAAACCCTGTTACCTTGAAGTGTCTTGTGGGAAAAGTCAAAGCAATTCCAATCCCTGTAACAAATGTGGTCTCTAGATACTCCTCTCCAAAAGGTATCTAATCTAGCCTGGAATTCCCATAATAAAGATTTCAACAGTACATAGCCTCGGACTTTTAAATCATCTACCATCACAATTTCTAATTAATTTCTAAATTATCTTTAAGCAGAGTATTTAAATAGAATTTATTAGATACATTGTCCGAATGTCCAATTAACCTTTCCAGTTAAATGGTTCCCTTGTGTAACACACCTCCATTCACCATCCTCATTCTCCCTTGCCTTTTACCTTGTGATTTTTATATATTTCCTTGGTAAATGTAAACCCAGTTGCCTATCCTGTTCTTCCAATGACATTTGACATTGTTGTTGTTCTGATGCAGTGCTTTTTATCCCCCTTTCCTTTAACAAAAGCTCTAGACTGTTCCACAGCAGTCTGAGGAGTGGGTTGAGCTGCTAAACCCACCATGGTAGCTCAAAAGCTGGCTCCACTTCCCTCTTGAGGATACCTCAAGGCAATCCTCACACAGGTGCCGTGCTGCTCTTTCAGAATGAAACCGAGAGATATGGTCAAGAGAAACAGAATGTAACCACAGTAACCCTCAAATCTACCAATCCCCTCTCAAGAGAACAGCTTCTTGCAGACTAAGTAGCTATCCATAAACCAGAGCAAGGCTGAAATGGCTCTGAAAGGCTTTTAGGCTATCTTGGACCACAAAAAAGCAAAGGTTATTTTAAAATGTAACCTTTGTCACCCTATTGATGCAGACAAATATGGTCAACAACATTTTTTTAGTTTCTCCTCTCTAATTTCATTTTAACTGTTCCCATCAAAAGACACAAACTCATTTTAAAAATAACAAAGCACAACCAAATTCAACAACGTGGGCTATTGTTGCAGTATGCAGAATGCCTCTAGAAGGACAAGAAGACCTCTAGAAAATTGGTAAATTAAACCCCTAGAAGCTGTGCAGTTACATCTTCTACTACACATGGAACCAGGTTCCCCAGTATTTGCAACATCTGTCATTATGCATCAGAAAATTGCCATGTCAGATAGCCCAATTGATATTTCCCAGACAGAGGAAGAAGAAAGTAATTTCAAACCATACATACTTCTTGAGTTTCCCAATTAGTTCTTGCGATACAAGAAATATCAGGTTCATCATTTCTCTTCTGCCCAGTAAGAGTGAGTAGGAAAAATATTTTTATACTCTTTTTTGTTGGAGAGGCTTGAAGGGAGATAACAACTTGTAAGGATACAGACTAAGAAGATGGCATGAAACAATGCACTACATTGATTTTTAAAAACTCAAATCCCAAGAGTATCACCAGGGCTATGATTTGGAGCAGGTCTAATTAATCTCTGCTCTAACTACTCTCTTGAGAGTTTTATCTTAACTCTTCCTGGACACTTCTTGTGATCGTACTTCAGTAACCATTTTGACAGACTGCTCCACTGCCAAATCTTTCTGTTGGAAAGTTTCTCATTAAATCTAATCTCGATGTCCCCTTTTCAAATGTAAAACTATTACTAGCTTACAAAACACCCTTGTGCAACCTTGAATAAATCTTCCTTGTCTTTTATCACTTCATTTTACAGAATTATCAGTTATCCCCCTCCAGTTACTTTCTACAGCCATACAAATTACAATTCATTACCCTTTCCTTTTCTTTATGTCCTTTCTTTGTTTCCACGACTATAAAAAGCAATAAAGGATTCATTTTAAAGAAATGAATAAAGTGTCATGCCATATTTCACCTATCTTTCAAGCGTTTAACTTAGCACTAGATGCAACTGATTATTGTAAAAACATTATTCCCTTTCCAGTGTTATGAAAATCTTATTCAGTTCCAACAAAGAAATCCACTCTGTACCATTATTTTTTACCCTAATTTCCAGTACCAATGCTAAGCAAACACAAAAAGTCAGACAGAATGCCAGATAGACATTAATAGACATAATTTATGCTGCATATGACTTCATTTAACAACAGGAAAACGTGTTTTTACAGCAAAATCACCCTAGTGTTGCAGAATTTTACAGGATGGATTTCACTGCAGTTCTTAACATCTGACTGCTCAACAAAAGAGCCAAGGAGCAGGCTGGGGAGCAGGAATAGGGGAGAATAAGGCCTAATATGAAGTTAGAAAAGTATTTGGAAGCACCAGTGTCTGAAGACATTCCACACCACGCTAATGGGCTGCTCCCCTGCCTGTAGAAAGTATTTACTGTTCTCTCCAGTAAAATTCCACACTGGGCTGGCTAAGCCTCTCTCAGTATATATACATACACAAAACACACGAAAAATATCCTGAAAGCCCTGTTTTGCCGTGAAGGCAAAATTCATTGCTGACTACAGCAGTGTTGTAACAGCACTGCCACTGATGCTAGATTGAAAAGTCCAGTCATAGGAGCTGCTGACGATCTTCTCTAGGTAGGAAGAGCTTTTCTTCTAGAAAGACCAATGGCATAAAGGTCAAGAAACTCCTTAACTTGCAAGGTTACCAAAAAGGAATTTAACAGACCATTAGTGACAACATATAGAAAGCATGTAGGGAGGATGATACATGGAATGGAAAAATACTACAGGTGCATGGAACTTTGCTTTCCAGAACAGCTGAAGATTGAAAACGGACAAAGACACAGATCCAGCCTCATGGTAGACAGAGGTTTGCTGGAACAGAGGTTGAGGCAGTAGAGAGTGCTGAGTGAGGAAGAACATAGAGCTGCTGCCTTCTCTATGGCTAGCCTGCGATCCCTCCCTTCGAACTTTGCATGAGTTTTATCTCAGACCTCTTGTTGTGGCCATGTTGATGCTCTTCCCCAGTCTTAAAACCCTCAGGCAGCTTCTTGGCCCTTGCTCATGTGGTGGCTGAGCAGCTTCTCATCCTCACGGAAGGATGTGGTGCTGGGGGAGCAGAGCAGGTCCAGGTCAGGCAGCCTGGAGCAGCCCCCACAGAGGCTGTGCTGGGGCAGCAGGTCACAGCAGAACCTATACAGGTCATACACTTCACTGACCCTGAGGCATAGGTTAAAGTCTATGCTGTCCTTGATATCTACTGTAAATTATTAACTCTTTTCCCAAATTCTTAATTTAAGAACACCAAACTGATAAGAAAGCCCTTAAAAGCTTAAATCTCTCTATTGCAGACAAATATGTACTGTAATCCTTTTATTAACCTCATCAAACTCCATTTAAAAAGTTAGATTTCCCTGAATAAAGAAATACTGTTGCTCATGCATCAAAATGGTAAGAAAATACCATTGCGGGAGCAATAACTACTATTGAAATTCATCAAAAAAAGCAAAGTCTGCAATTTATTTTCCCAGACTGATCTCAAAAAGGACAATTTTTCACAATGGTATTATATATGCCAGTCATCTTTCCATACACACATTAGATTACATAACATATATTGTTGCAAACAGTAATTTTCAATAACATATTCTACAGGGTTTTTTTTAAAAAAAAAACATGTTTTTGAAATTTTTAAAAACGTTCTGTGAACATGATGACTGTCCTAAAAGGTATGATAATTTCTCTCAGTGTTTTTCCATCTCTTCAGTGACTTGCCATGGGAGATAATTATTTGGCAAGTACATTTTGTCACTCTTGCCAGGAGTGTCAAATATAGAAGTCAAGAAGACTTTATAAGTTACTGCTCCAGTATAGAGAGACTTAATGAATGCCAGAAGTCAAATGAGCCTAAAACTATCTTCACAAAAACTTGAGCAAGACACAACATGAAAATGTTCCAGTCTTTCTTAAAATATTTCTGTGAAATTTCTCCACAGTTTTTTTCTTTTTTTTTCAGTTTGCAGCTCATAGTAAAAAATGATTTTTACTTTTTCTATTTCCTCTGCACAAGTTTTAAGATCTCACCAGAATGAAAAGCACTCATAATATCATGTCAGTAGCTGAATTGAAGATATATTCTTCTGCAAAGGCAATGAACTAGATCTCATACCACTGTTGCTCTGGCTGTAGTCTTATGACACAACATCTCTGTGGCACTGTCACTGCAAAAGATTTCCTCCCTTCTCTTTTCCCACTGTTTATTCATCCCCTGAGACACAGTGCTCTACCCTCAGTCACGGTGGTATTTTTTGTGGACCATCTGTGAATTTTGTCTGGGAAACAGATCTACCTTGAATAAAAGAGTCAAAATAGATGATGAATACAAAAAAGCCCCAAACCAACACACAAACAACAAGCTAGATTAGTTGCTCAATCTAATTTATATTGCATTTATGCAAATAATCTGCACCAGTCTATTTGAAAGATGGCAAATCTGGTGTGCAAAAATACTTGAAATACACATTGCCATATATATCTTGGAGACTAAACTCCCAGCCTCAGAGTACTTGAACCATTGTCAGTTACTGCAGTGTACAGCAGGGACAAAACTTGTTGTCAAACACTAACTTTATGTTAAATAAAATGTGGTTCTGATAACATTTCCTTGTCTGTCCATCAATGAGAGAAGAGGGGTATTACTAGATACTCATCAAAAGCTAACAGAAACATTTGAAAATCATTTTACTGTAAAATAGACCCACAACACTTTTCTGTGATTAGCAAAATATTTGTACTATTCCATCGGCTTAACAAGAACTATTTTTACTGCTTCTCTTCTCAACCACCTCATTAGTAAATTGCTCAAGTCAGAAAACACAGTAAGTTTTTGTTGTGCAGTGTACACTCGACAGGATGGATTCAGTGGAAAGAAATTTCCAGATATTTACTATTTCTGAAAGAATTTGTGTTCAGTAACCACTTTAAACTCTGTATTTCATCCTGATTTTTTTTAATGTGAGAAAAGCCATTCAGCATTCATTCCACTCTAAACCAAAAAGCTATGATGCACTTCCACATTTATTTTTTGAGAGGAAAGGAGCTGAATGTGACTCAAGAGTATTTTGGTGCAGTGATACAGATTTGGAAGCAGCCTTAAATACACAACACGAACATCTATATTTGACTTCTGGTGTCAAGAATAAACTTCCTTCCCTCCTAAGGGCAGTTTAAACTATGCTAGGACTTGCTCTCAGCCCACATGAAAAAGATGGTTATTTCCAGAATTTGTTTTCAGGGGTAGAAGATGCTGTGTTGAATGTCTAGTTTAAACATATCAACAGCACAGATGCAACAGGAATAAGGAAGCCTATGGAGATCAGGAAGACCCCAGGAATTATATATCATCACTGTTGACAATGTGTGCACCAACGTGCAGTCACCAAACAGCAGACACTTACCAAATCATTGTTACAACCATTTAAAATTGATTCTCCGAAGAATTCACTTCTATCCCATTAAGCTTTTGCATGTTTCTCTTTGATTAAGACAAGCCCAGCATTCGTTCACTAGAGTCAAGAAGAAAAATATGTTGGCTGCTCACTACTGCACATTTGATATAACAGCCTAGATGAAGAAAGTCAATCAGTGTGAAAATAAAGAATTAGTGCTACAGAATTAAGGGCCATCCTTTTAATAATTTTTTTTGAACTAAATAGAACACTTCTTAATGGTTGACTATCTAAATCAGGCACATTAGATTCCTGTCATCACCTGTGACAAAATAATCTAGTTGATAAATATTGCTTAGTTTAAATAGTTACTCAGTCCAGTTGGACAGCTTACACCTATAGACTCACAGCAGAGAGAGCAGCTGCTGTTGAAGATGCTCTGATGTTTCTTGCTGCCCCTCTGCCAAGGGTTACTGCCCCCAGTGGAGAGCCAGAGAGAAGGATGGTGTGTTCATGGCTCAGCCACTCCAGTGCAGCACTCAACCTTCTCGTTCAAATGGAGTGAAACTGGGCAAGACACAAAGGCTCTGGATTTGCACCAAGCTGCACATAAACATTACACTCTTGACTTTCCTGGGAAAGTAGCCTCTGATTAAGGGGAAACACATTATTGGCAGCAATTCTCACACCTTTCGATGGCAAAGCTGGAGTCAAGTCTATTTTATTGTAGTTACCCATTTGTCTTTTCGCTTTAAATGTGTTAAGGGTATATATCAGGTAATTTAATTAAAAAAGAACACGAACATGCAGTTTGTAAGTTATTTAGCTTTGGTTTGGAGTTATTTGGCCTAGTGTTAAACACAGCAGAGTGGTTACGCTTGAACAGTAGTAACACTTCAGGCTCTATACTTGGAAGTTTCTATTCCGGGAATGGCATTTCTGTAAACATCTACCATTTAGAAAATTAGCACATACTCTGCATGATATATTACTAGCATTACTTCTCACAGGGAGAACTCAATTCCAGTTTCTCTGGTAGCACTGTTTTCTTTTAGTCAGCCTCTCTTTTGTGGACAAATCCAAATTAGGTATTTCATTCCTTTCCCTGCTGTACCATGTCCATCGGTTTATGTAAGCAAATCATTTCACATTATAATCTGTAAAGTGTCTAATAGAATTTAAATGTTTTTATTGAGATTTCTTCTAATTATAGACATAGGCAGTACTTCATGTATAAACTATTAAATTTCATTCTTCCTTTCCCATTTAGGAAATCAGATGTTTTCTGCTTGTTACATTGCTGACACATTGGACTGTCTTCAAACTATGAAAGTTTACTTTTATTGTATCCAGTTTTTTTGTTCTGTCTATAATCCTGAATTAAAACTAACTCATTGTCATAATCATGTTCTTACTTCTTTGTTATTCTGTTTACATATTTCTATTGCAAAACTCTGAATCTAGTGTAGCTAAAGATACAAAGGCATGGATTGAATATCTGCTTCACAGTGGTGAAAACTGTCCATTCTGAAGCAAAGAGCAAGTCACCAAACACCAAACTATTCTTTAAATACTAATTTGCAAAGTAATTAAGCCTTACAGTTGTCATAGTTATATTATGCCTTTTAAGAACTCAATTTTTTTGCTTGTTTCCTATTCATAGTAACACCTAAGAAGATTTGAATATAGACAGCTTTTTTCAGTCTGAATTCTACATAAATTTTCTACATACCATGCCACACAATGTTAAGCATACTACCCAAGGCTTTAAATTTCTGTATTGGAAATTTAATTCCTTCCCACTTGGAAAATGATTGTAAAATTTCTTACTCTAACAGGTTTTTGAAAGTTCTTGTGGGAAAAGGTAAAACAAGTAAGAAATGTGGTAATTAATTTAAGAACACTGGACATCACTTTCCTAGCAAATATTTGTAACCGTTCCTGCACATACCAATATCTTCTGACATTTCAGTTAGAAATGATAACGACTATTAGCTCTATGGATCAACTTATGCTTAAATAATTTCTGTAAATACTTGATAGAAATGTCATGGAATTTTGGATTGGTTTATTGTGTCTTTCTTCTTTAATATAAGCAATGATTTTATCCATAGCATTACTTTTGCAGCCTAGAATATGGTTAAGATGATTTGGCCTATTTCTATGGGCTACATAAAGCACTGTTTTACCTACATAATGTGTCATTTTACTCTCCCTGGCTCTGTTTGCAACTATTACAATGTTCTTTGCTAATTCTGACTTTCACCCCAGTGACTCTTCATCGAGCGAAACAGAAAAGCTAAAGCAGATACCTTTGTCTTATTAGCTTTTTTTGAATATTTCACTAAAATAAAATATCACTTAACAAGATGCTACATTTAGGAAATAAAGTGTCAGATAATACTGTCTTCTAAAACCTGGGACAAGCAACATGTAAATCAGCGTATCCCTTTAGAAAAGGCAACTCAGTTTCAGCCATAGATTCTTTTCTGCCAAAGAGAATATTACCAGTTGCAATTCTACCTGTACAGAATCCTACACTTGCATTTCTGTAGCTCCACAACTTAAAGAAAGGGATTCAATTTAATGCACAGTCTAGTATGGTCGAAGTATTGTCTTCTATTAAACTTGGGTTTGCTTATGTATGGATTGTTTAAGTACATTCATATTTAGCAGCTGTGTTCTACATTCAAAAAGAAATTAGCTTCCACACCAACAGCTTTTCTCTCTCTGTGTAACAGAGTAGCTTGTATCTTTTACAGATGTTGCTAAAGCCCAGTTAGGACATGGAAGAGAGTAAAACATATCTCCTTTGTTCCTCTCTTTTCAGGAATCTATACTGATGACCCACCAAGAGCTCATCAATGCTTGCAAGGGCTCAGATTAGTATCCCTGACAGACTATCCTCTCCAAGGCAAGGCAGGTTATCTCTAAACCCACATAAGTTACTGAGCACAAGAGGACTTTCAGTTTCTTTTGCAGGTTCATAGCTCACCTTCCCTCCAAAATGTACCTCTTCACTGCAAATGTGTAATCCACTCTTTGCCTAGAAGTCCTCAATTCTTCTCTCCGAATGATCATGGGAATCTGCCCCATAATGAGACATTATTCAATGATTAATTGCCACTGGAGAACTTTCAGTTTGCTTTCTTTTGATAGCAGCCTGGTCATGAACTTCTGTCCAGTTTTTGTTTATTTATATCCCCTTCTAGTTTTCGTCCTGAATATTGGTTTTGCTAGCCTACATCTTCACAGGACAAGAAAAATGTTTCTGCCTTCTCTGCTCTGAGAGATTTAGACATTGTAGAGTATATAAAATAGTATAAAATGAAGAAAATTTATTTAATAGATCTTGGATATTTGATATACTGCCTTTGACTTTAACCAGACGAAGAGTTTTTCTACAGCTTCTCTAAAAAAAACCAAGCAAAAGTCTTCGTGGCATTATTGATCTTTTCAAAGAAAAGTTGTTTCATTAATTTTATTGGTAATTTATCTCTTCCATGATCAACAGACAATATTTTATATTGTTCTTCATTTCTTAATGGAAAGTAACCTTTTCCTTTCCTGTCATTCAAGGAAGGTGATTCTACTGCCTTCCTCTTTAAACTATTAAAATTGGAAGTAATTTAAATTAAAAACAAAGAAATGCAAATTACAGATTTTGTTGTTGCCAAGGCTAAGAATGCACTTTGTCCTCTTATTAAATATACTCTATAATGTGCTTTTACCTGATCATAATTTCACAGTACTGTCATGTTCTTTCCTTGAGTACCATTTCTCTTATGGTATCTCATACAAGGGAATGATCTGGAATAATGTTATATTCTAACTTTACATAAATATTTGCAAACAATACACAGGTCCCATTCTCCACAAGAATAAAGAAGCTGGATTCTGTTCAGACCTACCAGGTTTCTTCTACATAAATCTACTTTTGTACTAATTGCCCCCTGTATTCTCAATGGGTGAGACAGAACTGAGGTTGGCTACACTGATCTACAAAGGATGACAGTTCTCCAAGGAGCCTAAAATACAGGTGTAAATGAGATAAGGTCCCAGTTGCTCTGACCCTGAGACTTACATGAATTATCTTTCTCAGAAGGGTCAAGTTGCAACAACTTTACGGTATTTCACCAGTTCTAAAGATACAGAAAAAAAAATCAAACAACAATTTGTTCTGGAATATGAGACATAAATATAAATTATTTAAATGAAATGTGGTATCATCAGTATAATCACCATATATCCAATGGCCTTTTGTAAGAGAATGCTTTTGGATATTGCTTATCTATTATTGCTCATTTTTCACATTTTGTAATTGACTTTCTCTCTTACACTAGGCAGACATCCACCAAATGATGTATTACATCATGGTGATGGATATGGAAATATTTATTTATAAAACAAGGGCTAAATGAATACTATTAGTAATATTTTCTCATTTTTCATTTTTATTTTCATTATGCCTACAATTGAATGGCTAAACAAAACTATTTTTGCCTACTCCTAAGTGATGGCAAAAATCTTCCTTTTTCCTTCTCAGAAAGTTGCAGGGTTTATTCCCTCACTCTCTAAAAATTGGGGATTTCCACATTTTCAGAACAGGCTTGATCTCTTGTTTCTCTGATCTTAATGCTCCCTACAATTCACCTAAATCAATCTTTACTGAAATTACCTGTATCCAAGAACCTGATAGCAAGGACTGCTGATGGAGAGTCAATGTAGCAAGCATAGTAATGACAGTACTGTTGCATACATGACAGTTTTTCTGATGTGTGACAAAGAGAAATGCAAGGATCTTGGTATCTGCTTCAAGTTTCTTGAGACACTGGCTAATACTGTAACACAGAAAGTGTACTGCCACATGCATTTCCCACATCCCAATCTTCTAGTGAAGACTTAAGTAGTTAATTCAGGTTGAAAGTAAAGAATCTGCATGTATGCTGTACACTTGGATGCAACATCCTGTATACAGTATGCAATCCATATACGTTTACAGTATTTCTATAGATCCCTTTTTCACTCGATGAGGAACCACAGACAAATATAGGATTTACCTTGTCCTAAACCACATATGTAAAGTAAGACAAATGGATCACGCTCTTAACTGTCCAATTG